TCTATCCCTTTCTCTCCCTCTTCCTCTCTGTCCACTCTCAACTGTAGGTCTAACCTTCTATTTTTTCCTCCATCTGTTGTTTTTGTCTGTCTTATTTTTCTCCTGGTATCGCTATTGTGTCAGTGTGTGCCTCTTTTTACCTATACAAAGAGACGTGAAAAAAAGCAATTTCAGTTTGTTTTATTTTATTTTTAAAAAATTTTAAACTCTGTACAGCAACGTGAGATAGAGCTGCTCAGTTTTCTTTGCGACATATACCATTTGTTTCCAGGGCGTTGGGAATGTTTTATGTTAAAAAAAGAAAAAATTAAATTACGTTTGTGTTCTTTTGTTTTTCAGATTTCGTCAATGGCGGAGAAATGTTCACCCATCTGTATCAAAGAGATCACTTTGACGAGAATGCAGTAAGGATATACATTGGTGAAATCACACTGGCGCTGGAAACACTGCATAAGGTAAGAATGACATTGTAATGAATCTCAGAGAGGAAGGTTTTTAAAAAAAAATTATTTTCTCATTTTATTGGTGCTGTTGAGTGGGTTTTTTAATGTTTGTTTGTTTTTGGGTTTTTTTTGTTGGGGGGGAGGGGGGGAGTTTTTTTGCTAGGGGAGAGGGGGAGGGGGTTCCTCTAGCGAAAAGAAAAAAGAGAAGATGGCTCTATCACTGCTTAGAATTTTTGGTTTATTTAGCAAGTCATCATCTCCTCAGTACGTCTGTCCCTGCTATTTTATTTTTTATGGAATAGCCCAACAGTCCTTCCTTCATAAATTTCCTGAGCTTGTAAATTGACGTGTGTTCTTGTTCAATCCTCAGCTGGGTATTATTTATCGTGATATCAAACTGGAGAACATCTTGCTGGACTCTGACGGCCACATTGTACTCACAGACTTTGGCCTCAGCAAGGAGTTTCTGCCCTCGGACAGTGTAAGTGCATTAGTGTGTGTGTACGATCATAATATTTGCATTTATAAAGCGCATATTCATGTTGTGTATATGATCATGATAATTGCTTTTATATAGCACACATTCGTTCTCTATGGTAATGCTTGTCAGGCTTTTTATAGCCAGTGCCCACTTTTGCCATTAAGTGGCTGAAGTTTCTGTATTCCCGCTTCCTGTCACTTTCCAAAATAGCGGGTGGTTGGCGGATGCTCTGATGTGGTTTGCTCCTTCTTTCCAATCAAACATGTATCGTCCTGGTCTCTCCTCTTTTTTTAAATTTTTGTTTTGTTTTGTTTTTGTTACTCTGCACCTAATCTTCAACATTTGTATGACCTTATTGAGTTGCAAGTGCGCAAAACTCTTACTAAAACCAACTTTCCAAAATACATTTGCTTTAAAGGCTAAACATTAGTCTCGTTTTCCTTCCTACAGAAGTCTCACTTGACTTCACAATAGCTCCTCAGGCCATCCTGTGCGTTCCAATGTACTGTCTTCTTGGAATCATACAGAGTCGTGATGTTATATTTTAAGCTTTTGTTTGCTTGACTTTTTCAGGACCACCGAACCTACTCTTTCTGTGGCACCATTGAGTACATGGCCCCCGAGGTGGTCAAGGGAGGGCAGGCTGGACATGATTTTGTGAGTAAACTGTTGGGCTCAGGCAGCTCGTTTAAATCTAGCTTGCACTTACGTGGCAACCATGGAGTATAAATTCTTTTCTGTTGTCAGTTAGGAAGTTCTTCTTAATTACTTCTGAAAGGTGTACATGCTTTGTCAGCTGGAAAGTTTGACATTTTGAGTGACTTAATATATTTTTAAAAATTTCCTTTACAAGCCTTATTTTTTAAATTATGACAGTCGAATTGTCCAAGACGTCCACCCATTGCTGAGGAGAAAAGTGGTTGTCTTAGACAGGTGGATGTTATAGACAGTGCCATGATGATATTTTTTATAAACGCATTGCGAGAAGTGGTTGTGTGTTCTTTGTTCAAGTAATTGTCTTGGGCAGGTGGCCATTAGAGCAGGTTCAACTGTACTGTGTATATTATATATGTTCATACTCTCTTGTGAGCTTTGCTACATGGATTATTTCTTTGTGTTTGTGTTTGAGGAAGAAGGGGGCCGACCTTTTTCTTTCAGTATTCAGATTTCAGTTCAGGTAAAATTTAACCCCAGGTGCCGATTTACATCCCGATAATGGCAGTCAGCTGCTTCCTCTTCCTGGGAGACTTGGCATCAAGCACACCGTGACCTCCCAGGGTGATCTGGATGTTGCTATGTCAAGCAGTTCGGGATGGGGGAGGTTTGGTGGGAGGGAGGGGGGGGGGCAACTTTACTTTTGCTGTCTTTACAAAATGTCTTTACTACTTGTGTGTAGTTGGCAGATGCTGTGGTGTAGTTATCTTTTTCTTTCCTATTAGACAACTATCATCCTCATCTCACTTCCTTCTTTTGTTGATGTGTTACATTCAAGTAACGCCTCTGATCTTTGGTGTATATTTGACTGCATTGTGTTGCTAGTGCAGTAAAACACTTACTAAAACACCCCCCGGGGCAGTGCCACTGACTGTAGTGTCTTTAGGCCATTCCCAAAGGGGGGAACATTTCTCGTTCAAGCATAGTAGAATTGTAAATGGGCTGACTCATGTCACGCTCATAACTGTGCCTGATCTACCACAGGGAACTGCTGCTTTTTTTTTTTATTGATCCTTACTATTGTCATTTTCCTCTACTTGTTTTGTATGATTGTCACTCTCTTGTGACCTGCTATTTCCGGGGTGCCTTGATAGTCGAAGCAGACCTTGTGCTGTTGAAGCTAGAGAGGTGAGCAGTCTAAGTCTGATTCCCCGTAAAGACTTCTCTGTTGACACCCACCCCTTGGCGCTCATATGACCTTATGCAGTTGCGAGCGCCGTAAAACCCTCTACTATTTTTTTTAAAAAGGTACTAAAACTGAACCAAAACAAAATCAACTTCTTCAAGTCTGTTACACAGGTTTTACAACAAACTTACACTGAGAATGGAAAAAAACCCAACAATTGGTGTCTCTTTCTGACATGTGTTCCCTCCCAGGAAGTTCAGTTTACAGTGACCGTGCTTGTTTATTTCTGGTTTGTAAATTATAAATTACAACAATAGATTGTCACACCTTTTATTCCAACTTGCTCAATTTCACATACATCCACCCACAGACATCTTGCTACTGCTGGGCAGTATGTATGGTGTTGTAGTGACATTTGTTTTGGGACGTAGCCTAACTATCTTCATAAAGTAAATTTTGATGAATGTTTACTTTTTGTACAAATATTGTAAACTCTTACTAAAAGCTTTTCCTCTTTTAAAGACTTTTATTTCTGTCTGTTTACCTTGCTTTTTCTCAGCACTATATGAATGTCATTATGTCAACGTGCTTCTTTTTACTCGAACTGATACTGAAACTGGTATCTTTTTGAAAATATGAACACTGATTTCTCACAGGAAGTTAACTTTTTTTTTTTTTACTTTTCTTTATTGTCTTCAGGCTGTAGATTGGTGGTCCCTCGGAGTACTGACCTACGAACTTCTGACAGGGGCATCGCCTTTCACTGTAGAAGGGGAGAAGAATTCGCAGAGTGAAATTTCAAAGTGAGTTTGCCACACTGCAGTGAATTTTAAAAAACTAATTTTGTTGTTGTTGTTTTAGAGTTCATGTATTGATATATTTGTCAACTCGTTTTCATCTCTGAAGTTAAGTGAAGTAAACAAACAACGTGTATGGTTGCATATTTTTTTTCCAACTAATTCCTTTACGAGGGGTTAAAGGGACGTAGATTTGGTGCATGGTAGTTTTTTGTGTGTTTTTTGAGTGCTGAGTTTGACTTACTGAAGTTCTGACTAAATGTACAACGTGCCTTAGATGATTGTTAGGGCCAATAACCCATGATTAGTAAAGTGATGTATGTAGATTTTTTGTCGGAAGGCAATATACTGTCTACGTGTTGTTATTTGTTCATAAACGGCTTAGAGCCTGTGTTCCTTATTAGGGTTGAGCATTATGTAAAAGTCATATATTATCATGATGGGGATAAAAACAATAATTACAGTGCTGACATTAAATGTAATGAGCTTCTGAATGAAAATACCAGCTGAGAAAAAAACTCACTGGTGTCATGCCAAAGGTATAATAATGGCAGAAGATATTATGAAGAAGGAACACTTTTTTCAAATTGTCTGAGTGTTTGAAAGAGGAACAATATCCCCCTCACAGCCAGCCTTGTGTAGTTGTGAGGGGGTTGGAAGTAACCTTCAGAGGGCCTAATTTTTTCTCCTTTCAACAGTTACCTTTTGTCTTAGCTTTTTATCCATGAGTAACTGGTGCTGTGTTACTGTGCCGCTCATTGGCTGATACAAATAGCTCTTATATTCTCGTTATGCTTTCAGTGTTTGTTTCTTCTTTGTGCCTTCAGAACCATAGTGTAGGTGGTTGGCAGGTGCTCTTGTGTTGTTTGTTATTTCTTTCGTATCAAACAACTTCTGTCGTAATCTCTCCTTCTTTTTTTTGTAGGTTACTCACAACACCTCTAATCTTAGGCACTTTATAATATGACCTATTTGTATTGCAGTTGTCCTGAAACTAAAAAAAGAGGCTTAATAAAATGTTTGTTTTCCTGTATTCTTTCAGGCGCATAATGAAGTGCAACCCCCCGTTCGGTGACAACAGATTTTCTCCCGAGGCTAAAGATCTCATCCAGGGTCTTCTCACAAAGGATGCGACGAAGCGACTTGGTTCTCGCAGTGCAGAGGATGTGAAAAGACACCCGTTCTTCAAGGTATACATCATGAATTTATTATTAGATCAGGACTGCTCTAATATTTAATCAACCAAGTGTCAAAGGTCATAAATAGTGGTATGACACTTATTTGTGCATAGTGGAGTCATTTTTAAACTGTAGCCCCCCACACACACACACGCACACACACACACACACACACACACACACACACACACACACACACACACTCATCTTCATCGCCTCGAATTGTTCTCAGTTTTATCCGTTTATGAGAAATAGCCTGTTATTGTGATTAAAAGAATTGATAGTTTTTTCAAATGAAATGCGGTCGGGCACGGATAACTCGGATAACTTGAACATTTCAGGGATTGAAAAATCGATACCTTTGAATCACAAAGTTCTATCTGCCACATCAATGATGATGATGATTGTTGTTTGAGAAAAGGGTGAATAGAGGGGTGTTTTCTTTTCTTTCTTCTGAACAGCCCATGAACTGGGACGACTTGGCCAAGAAGCAGATTCCTGCTCCATTCGTGCCCAAGATCCGCCACGAGCTCGACCTGAGCAACTTCTCCGAGGAGTTCACCAAGATGGCTGCCATGGAGTCTCCGGCCGT